GTCCTTCACTTCACATCTCCTTCTGCCCCATCTCCAGTGCAAGCTCAGCTGGTGATGGACCCGATTGCTTTCCCGTTCTAATAACTTCTCAATTGACAGTGTTCTTTTAACTGAAGCAAATACCTGGCTACACCCTGGGACCTGATTGCAGCAGCCATGATGAAGTGACCGTACATCAACTGGGAGAGTCTTCTTAACACAACTTTTGACTCCACCGATGCTGGTATGAAAGTTATTGGCAGGCTACCTTTCTAGTTAATGAAGGCATGGATCCTGGTTCAAATTTGTTGCTCAGTTCAAACTCCTATCCAGGGAGCAGCTGTGGGTCCTCACTGGCTCCCCCTTGCCAGGTTGGGAGGGGAAGTGAGCACCAACAGACTTGGGACCAGCAAGGCTTCACATCTGGGTTCTCATGCTATGTCCATTTTGGTCTGGGGATGTGTGCCACTACCACTTAAAATATGTTACTACTCAAGGGGTGGTGGTGACACATGGCTTTAATCCCAGCACTCGGGAGGCAGAGGCAGGTGGATCTCTGTGAGTTCAAGGCCATCCTGGTCTACAAAGCAAGTTCCAGGAGAGCCTCCAAAACAATACAGAGAAACCCTGTCTTGAAAAACCAAAAACAACAACAACAACAACAAAAAAACAACCCTATGTATTTAATGTGTGCATTTTTGTCTGTCTGTCTGTCTGTATGTATGTACACCATGTGCATGCAGTGCCTGGGGAGGCCAAAAGAGGGCATTGGAGCTCCAGGCAGAGGCAAGCCACCTCATACATGTGCTGGAAACAGACAAGAGCCTCTGCCAGAGCAGCTACACTCAATCATCTCTTGACTGACTCCTGTCTAAACTCCTGAGTCATCTCTTCAGTCTCTGGGAATTGTACTCTTTACTGCATATGCCCAGCCAAACCTCCAGGAGTCAAGGAGGGTTGGGCAATTGCCAGATCCCGCCCCTGCTCTCCATGCGGCCACACTCCATTGCTGTGTTTGCTGACAGCATGGCCTGCCATGTTTGGGATGTCAGTTACGGTTGTATTTATTACAGGTATTACACTTACATACTGTTATAATATAGTATGCAAGTACTTTAGCTTCAACATGTCCATTGGCAGAGAAACACTTTGAAAAAAAGTCTAGAGGGCTGAGGCTACAGCGGCAGAATGCTTGCCCAGCACGTGTAGGGGCCCCGGGTTCATTTCCTAACCCTGCTTAAGAAACAATCTAGTGGTGTTCTGTTTTACTGAACTTACAGTTGTTATATTTGAGGTGTTGCTAAGGCTGGTCTTGAATGTCTGGACTCCAGCTATCGTCCTGAGGAACAGGGAGATGAGGTACCATTGTGCCTGGCTTATGCACTTAATCTTATGCCTTCACTGATGCACCAAGCCCCTGACTGAAAATATTTCATTTGTACAAAACGGCAGCTGCATCAGGTTGAGAAATGCCCTGTGACTCAACTTGTTCCTTTTTAACCCGCTACTCCAGCTACACAGTCGGAGTGATTTTCCATTCACAGGCTCCTGGCGCCCCCTGTTGCCCAGTGAGAGAACTGTCTCTTTACTGAGGCACAAGGAGAAAACACCTAATGTGTGAAGGTGCCCTTCTCTTTTAGGATTGCTTTCTGAATCCCGTATCAGATAATCTTTCGCACATGACATCCTCATCTGCTCTACTGCTTTCTTCAATCCTTCGTCTTCTACCTCCAGGGTCTGTCTCCTTCTGGGGCAGCAAACTTCCATGGCAACTGCCATCATACTTAGCCTCCTCTGGCAGGTGCTGAGTGTCTGTCATAGAGCATCTGACTTCTCTCATACTTACAGCCTTATGGGAGGAAAAACTGTCCTCTCCCTCTCCTCTCCTAGACTCCCCCTCACCCCTTTCTTTCTTTTATTTATTTATTTATTTATTTATTTATTTATTTATTTATTTATTTTGGTTTTTCAAGACAAGGTTTCTCTGTGGCTTTGGAGGCTGTCCTGGAACTTGCTCTGTAGACCAGGCTGGCCTGAACTCACAGAGATCCGCCTGCCTCTGTCTCCTAAGTGCTGGGATTAAAGGCGTGCGCCACCAACGCCCGGCTTCCCCTCACCCCTTTCTAAGACAAGGTCTCTATATGTTGCCCAACTTGGTCTCAAATACCTTCGAGATTCTCTGACTTTAGCATCTCCAGCAACTCAAAAATGTCTGCAACTCCAGTTCCAGGGAACTCAGCGCCTGCTGCTGGCTTCTGTGGGCACTGTACACAGTGGTGCACATACAAACATACATGCAGGCAAAACACTCATACATATAAAATAAAAATAGATGAAATAAATACTAGTGCCAAAAAAGTACCAGTACCTGCCTGTCTTAGGGGTTTTGATTTGATTGAGTTGGTTGAGGTGCTGTGAACTCAATTGGTCATCCTCCCTGTGGTTTGTGTGATGAGGGCCTTATCCCCAATGTGATCGTATTGGAATGAAGAAGAGAGGGAACTGCTGTCCCTAGCTTGTTCCAATCCCCCCATCTTGGAGTGGCCCTGGCCTTACCTGTCAGCCACAGGCCCTGTGTACCTGGATAACAATGGACATTCCTTTAAACTAGACTCGGAGGCCTCCGTCCAAGCCAGGGAACTTGCTTCTCTAAGCACAGGCAAATACGAGTTTTCTGGGTGAGGCTCTTTGGTGTGACTGTTAAGCCTGGGGAAGAAATTGCACCTTGGCTTCATTCTCTCATGTCTTCATAGCTGGAGATGGGGACTGGGTACCAAAGACTCAGTTAAGCCTGGTTTAGCACCAGCAGTCACTTTAGTGTACAAAGGTGAAGAATAGGAGTGTTTCATTATAGCACACTAGGGTCCAGCCCTGCCAAATGCCCTTGAGGGTTCTTGGAGACAGATTTCATAATCAGGGGTGCTTAAGGAGAGCCATGTGTCCTCTGGGTGCTATCCGGCCTTAGGAGGTGGCTATGTCACTTCAAGCAAGAAGCATCTTGTGTCATAACACAATGCTGGGAGTGGGGGATAGTCTGAGATCAGCCTGGCTGAAAGAAGAAAGTCAGAGCATGGAGACAGCTGATGGCGAGAAATAAGAAGTGGGTGCAGGTGTGGGGGCCAGAGTGTAGCTAACAGGAAGAGAGTGTAGCTAACAGCAAGAGAGTGCTATCTAAGCCCGGCCCTCCTGCTGGGTCACCTATCTGCGGGAGAGTCACAAAGTCATTGAAACCTTTAGATCATTTCTTCTACAACCCTAACACAATGCTATTTAAAGCCCAAGAGGCCACTGATGAGAAATACGAACAGTTCAGCAGCTCTGGGGATAACGCCCCTGGGTGATTGGAAATATGAATAGCACTAAATCTGAAACAGTCATAAACTAATCTGAGAAATGACGTAGTTTTAAAATATAAGGAAGGAGCCAGGTGTGGTGGCCCACAGCTATAATCCCTGGACTCAGCTGCGGCAGTAGGATCAGGAACTCTAGGCCAGTCTAGGCTGCATCAATCTGGTCAGCTGGGAAGAAGAAACATCAGTGGTGAGGAAGCCTCTATTGAACTGGCCTGTAAGCAAGCCTGTGGGGGCATTTTCCCGATTAGTGACCGATGTGGGGGATCCAGCTCACTGAGGGTGGTGCCACCCCAGACTGGCGGTCCTGGGTGGCACAGGAGACATAGTTGAATGTGAGTCTAAAAGGAAGTCCGTGAGGAGCGCTCTTCCAGGGCCTCTGCTGCAGCTCCTGACACTGGATTCCTGCCTTAGCCCCTGCCTTCCCTGTGATTGGGATGAATAATCCAAATAAACCCTTTCCTCCTCACGCTGCCTCTGGGCATGGCGTTTCACCACAGCTATAGAGAGCAAGCTAACACAGAAATGGTGTTAGGGGAGAGGACAGTGCACAGTCCCAAGGCTTCTCAGTCAGCAGGAAAGGCCAACAAGGTGAGGGTTTCTTTCCACTCCCACGGTATTTTCTCTTCACGCCTATACTGTCCCATTGGTAGACTGTGACACACCAGTCCCTGCTCCCTCAAACACATCCTCACCATGCACAACGGAGACAGCTATTGTATCTGAGCCATTCGTCCGGGCCACCTTCTCCTAGAAGAGCCTGGTTGCTTGAGGTGGCTCCTACCTTGATTAGTGTAATAAAACAGACAGAGGACAGGGAAATAGCCAGGTAGAGATACCACATCCTTTTTATTCTAACTCACATAGTAGGACTGAGCAAATGAACCTTGAAATGTTAGTTGCAGCGCCCGCACCACAAGCAAGTCCAAGATATCAGGAGAAGACCAGATGACCAGCTGTTTGTACTAAGAAGTGTCTTTATTTTCAGGAGAATGTATGTGTGTGTGTGTGTCTTTATTTTCCAAGTGTTAAGAGGTCTCTCTCTTGTAGGAGGAAGCAGTCTTATACATAATCTTACAACACAGTGGAAAAAACCCCAGGTGGAAGAGAGCGTGTTTTCCTCCTGTTAGATGTTTACGTCAGTGGGGCAATGCGGGGGCAGTAAGCCAGGACTAGAAAACAGTATGCACCTGTGGCTATCAGCTGACAAACAACTCAGAAAGCCTGTGGGGCATAGTTGCTCATTCCAGCACTTGAAAGGCTGAGGCGGGAGGACCACCACATTCATATTCACATGGGGTCTGTGGTAAGAAGAATCCAAATTTATTCAAGAGAGAAGAAGGCCAGTAAATAAAATTCCCATTGCCTGAACAAGCTAGGGAAATCACACTCAACCTTAAGATTTTTGTCAAAGCACCATTCCCTGAAGCCTTTCTTGACCTCAAAGCAGGTCTCCCCCTGTCTCCTAGAAGATGACAAGCATACCCGAAATCTAAGGGCCTGACACACTCTTGAGAAGACAGAGGTGAAGCGGCACAGAGGCGGGGGTGCTCAATGCGTCCCCACGCGGAGTTTCCAGTTTGCCAGCCCACGGAAACGCCATGGGCACGCAGAGCGGCTGCTGAGTGGCGGAAGTGCATCCCCGGAGCCGTTCTAGGAACCCTGGAGGACCCCGCGCGTCGGTGGTCTAGGGCTCAGTGGGCATCACGAGGTGCACTGGGACGTTCCACGCAGCGGACCGACCCTCGCCAGCTCCGCAGAGATGGGGTGAATTGGGGCGAGAGCGGCAGACAGGAAAGCTGGAACCGGCAAGGGGGCGTGGGCCCTCTGGCCACCTGTTCCTCCCACGAGTGCGCTCCGCTCCGCGCGGATTGGCCGCAGTGCCGCCCGGCACCGGAAGTGGCCGGTGTCGGTCGCCCGTGACACCAGACAACAGCTGCGGTTCTGTGCGCGCCGCGCTGCAGCGCTCTGGGCCCAGCGGAGTGAGCGTGGGCGGCATCCGCTAGCGGTGAGGCCTTTGGTTCGGTCAAGCCCCGGGGAGGAGGGCGCCGGGCTCCCGGCCTGCAGCCGGAGTCCTGAGCGTAGCCCCGCCCCTGACTGGTTGGCTGTGTGACCTTGGACTTTGTGGCACCGGGGGTCCTTTCTTGCACACAGAGGGTGGCAGCTGGGCAGTGTCAGGGCCGGTCCCCAATTCTGCTTCCAGGCCATATCAGTCAGGGAAACTGGAGAAGCAGGGTCCGACGTGGACATGCCTAGGACCTATACCAATTTTTCTTTTCTCTCTTGGTTTTTCCTTTCTTTCTTTGGTATTCCATTCCCTAAGTATACTGCTAGAACGAATGGCGGGCAAAAATCGGGGCCCCCGCGATTTGTGTTGGCAGACAGGATATTGGCTTGTAAAGGTTAGTTAAAGAAAGAAGACAGAATTGGGGGTGAAGAGATGGTTCAGCGGTTAAGAGCACTTGCTGATCCTCCAGACGCCCTGGTCTGGTTCCCAGAACTCACTAAGCACCTCATACCATCTGTAACTCCAGCTCTGGGGGTTTGGCTTTATGCACCTGCACTCAGGTGCACATGTCTATATGCAGAAACACACATCTACACATAATTAACAACAATAATAATAAGGGAGACAGAATTGAGCACAGCATTAACAGAGTTCCCTTGATCCTGGGTACCAGAGAAGGAAGATAAGAGTGTCTTGGGAGAAATAACTTTTTTTGTTGTTGTTTGATTTTTCTTTTCTTTTCTTTCTTTCTTTCTTTCTTTCTTTCTTTCTTTTTTTTTTTTTTTTTTTTTTGAGGTAGGGTCTCATTGCCTAGCTTTGACTAGTCTGGAACTCACTATGTAGACCAGGCTGACCTCAAACTCTCAGAGATCCACCTGCCTCTTTCTCCCAAGTGTTGGGATTAAAGGTATGTGCCACCATGCCAGGCAAAGAACTTACTTTTTTTTCATTTTTTAAAAATTTAAATTAGAAACAAGCTTGCTTCACATGTCAATCCCAGCTCCCTCTTCCTCCCCTCCTCCCCTGTCCCCTACCAGGCCCCCTAGCCCCCCTCCCAATCCCCAAGAACTTGCTTTTATAAGTAATTGTTATATACAGATAATAGTTATATGTCAGACCCTGATCCGGCCTCTTTAGGTAGAACAGTGAACGGACTGTCCAGTTAACCCTGAAGACAGCTGTAGATTTGTTACCCAGATAGCACGCAAAACTTCACTGAATACTTACCTGGTATCAGTGCTAAGCGCTGAGATTGACAAAATGAACACCACCATCCTTGCTGGTGATCTAGAGCACTGGTACTCAACTTGTGGGCAGGGTCACGACAATTTGGGGGTCATCTAATGCCACCGGAAAACACAGATATTTACATTATGACTCACAACAGCAAAATTGCAGTTATGAAGTAGTAGTGAAAATAATTTTATGGTTGGGGGTCACCACAACATGAAGAACTATAATAAAGGGTCAGGGCATTAGGAAGGTTGAGAACCATGGTGCCTAAGGAAGGAAACGAGTAACAGAGTGGCGTAGTGGCTACATGAAGAGTAATGTTTGTTAGGGCCTACAGGTCAGAAAACAAATGGGACAGACTGTACGTCTTGCAGCCGCATCTTGAAGATGTTTGTTCAGTGCACAGGTGGGCATGGTGTTCCAGGAAGTGAGAATAATGTGTTTCCAAAGGCAGAGAAACTTTATAAAGAATGGATCCTGTTTGGACTGCAGGACACTGCACATCTGCAGCTGACAGTTGTTTTTGGAGAATGTGAGGCAGACGTGGGAAAAGGAAACAGGTTTGATCATGAGAGCATTGTGAGCCACAGGAAGCGTTCATTCTAGAGGCCTTAAGAGGAGCAACAAACAGGAAGTGACATGGGAACCGTGGTTCAAAGAGGTGAGAAGGGGACTAGTAATGGAATTCTCATCACCCTGGCTTGAAAATGTGTGGTGTTTTTAAGTTTTACTAGTTACTGTTCATTAATAGGTATGTGTGTCAGAACTTTCTGAATGAGGTTTTCTGAGACTTTTCTCCCAGAGTGCATTGCAAGACAATTCTGACTTTATTTAAACAAACAAACACAAGCAAAACACCTGGGAGCTGATGAGCTGGGCATGCTACTGCATGTCTAATCCCAGGTACTCTGGAGGCAGCAGTATTGTGAGTTAGAGGCCAGCCTTGGAGACATAGTGGGAGCTTGTCTCAAAATAAAAGGAGATAGGGCATGATGACACACTCTTTAATCCCAACACTTGAGAGGCAGAGGCAGGCAAATCTTTGTGAGTTCCACTCCAGCCTGGCTTACATATCAAGTTCTAAACCAGCAGGGACTACATACTGAGACCTTGCCTCAAAAAACAAACAAAACACCCACAAGGGCTGGAGGTATAGCTTAGTGGTAGATAATCTTTAGGACTTTGAGTGGGGGGTGGTGGGAACACCATCAAAACCAAAACTGTAAGATAAACAACTATAGGAGACATGAAGATTTGAAGAAGGCCAGAGGGGGTTGGGAAACACATAGACACTGAAATGAAACCTAGTTTTGGCTGGGTGTTAGAAAGACATGTCCTTGTGGAAATAATTACTTTCTTTCTTTTGACACAGCATGTAACCCCAATTGGCCTCAAATTCATGATTCTCTGTCTTGTCCTCTTAAATGCTGACATTAAAGACACTAGAAGGGAACTTATTAAGATAGTACTTCCCAAATGAAATAATGCCAAAGATGGAGAAGATAGCCAACAGCTAGGCATGGTGACGCCGAGCTTGGAAGGCAGGACAGACAGAACTTGTAAATTGCAAGCCAACTTAATCTATAGAGTGCATTCTAGGCCAGCCAGAGTTACATAGTGAGACTCTGCCTCAAAAATAGATATCCACAACTCCATAATGTAGCCTTATAGTTATACAGATAACATCTATAATTTTGAAAGATTTCAATAAAAAAAATCTAGTTTTGAGGTATCTCCTTGCTCTGTGGGAAAATAAAATGCTGGGGTCTTCTAGCTCACTTAGAGGGAGATAACAAAGAGTTCCCAAAGCTTTAGGGTTCCAGTAGAGACTTAGTTTTTCTGGTAGGTATCTCCTCAGGGTAGGCTAGTGGTAGTCACCAGCATCTTGTGGCCAACAGGAGGCTAGGTGGAGAAAAGGGCAGTACAAAGGTCACCTGCAAAATCACTTGTCCTTCCGGCATCGTCAGACTCATCATCCAGTCTCTGCCATCTCTTGGGCTCTTTATTCCTCACTGTTCTCAAGTTTTCTTACCACTTACACCTATGTCTCTATCTACTAGTACCGCTCCTTCTAATAGGGGCATATTCAAATTTCTGTCACCAGAGAAAACCCATGACTTTATGACACCCTCATATTGCACGAAATTCATTTCTCCGTCACTGTCACTATGTTTTGTTTTGGAGACTGGGTTTCTCTGTGTAACAGCCCTGGTTGTCCTGGAATTCACTCTGTAGACCAGTCTGGTCTTGAACTCACAGAGATTGCCTGTCTCTGCCTCCAGAGTGCTGGGATTAAAGGTGTGCACCACCACCACCGCCCAGCCAGTTTCTGGTTTTTAAACTACAGAATCTCCCATCTGTTTAAATGTTGAATTTTGTTTTGAGGTTTTGAGATTTGACCCCCCACTGGGGCCTTGTATGTGCTGGGTAAATGCTGACACTGGGCTACAGTCCTGGGTTTTGTTTTTTGTTTGTTTTTTGAGACAGGGTTTCTCTGTATTGTTTTGGAGCGTGTCCTGGAACTCGCTCTATAGACCAAGCTGGCCTTGAACTCACAGAGATCTGCCTGCCTCTGCCTCCCTAGTGTTTTGTTTTTTGAAGCAAGGTGGGAGTAAATCTTGTTAAATTGCCCAGGCTGGCTTTCAGAGTAACTGGGATTCCTGGCATATGCCACCATACCTGGTGACATTAGATGCTTTTCAGTTCCCTCTGCCACTGCCCTGGTGACTTCTGTAACACTGTTATTGTGGCTCTTCACAAACCATTTTTTTTATTCTGGTGGCAGATTTCTCCACCTACCCCTTTATTCTCAGAGGATGAATCAAAAGCATAACCTACTCAAGTTAGGTTAATTTGAGGAAAGTTTAGTAGCCAAGAGGTTAATTGTTTGACAGGGCTGGGCAAAGTACTGAAGGATTGGGTAGAATAGATTCCTTAAGAGGACTTTAGGTTGAGGAAGATCAATAGCTCAAGGCAGTATCCCAAGAAGGAACCAGGAGAATAAATACTCTGCCATGCCCTCTCCTGTCTTCTGTTGGGTGTCGTCATTGGCAGAAGCATCTGGACACTAGAGGACTTGTGTGCTGTACAAGTTAGTGTTCTTGGCCAGAGAGCAGGATGGAGAAAGGTAGGAAGACCTCGAGGGGTTGAGGGAAGTAGAGTTAATATGATAGAAGTTCTCTTTACCATTAATTTTAGATTCTAGATTCGTGTCTTCAGTCTCTGATAGTTTTCAAACTATATTCATGCTGAGTTCTCTCAAATCTGTGTCTAGTATTGACTATTTTAAGCTTTTAGACCAGTATGAAAACTACCTCTATATGGATATCTCAGAACCCATCTTGTCCAAAACAGAGTTCATTCACCTCCTTCCTGCTTTACTAGCTATCCCTTCAGTATTCCAAATCTTGGTGCGTCATTATCCATCTAATTATCATCACTCAAATTAAATGTGATCTGACACCATCTTTGATTCTTACCTCTTATTTTTTGGTTTGTTTTCTTTTTTTTAGATTTAATTTTTTTTTTTTTTTTGGTTTTTCGAGACAGGGTTTCTCTGTGGCTTTGGAGGCTGCCCTGGAACTCGCTTGGTAGTCCAGGCTGGTCTCGAACTCACAGAGATCCGCCTGCCTCTGCCTCCCGAGTGCTGGGATTAAAGGTGTGTGCCACCAACGCCCGGCTAATTTTTTTTTAAAGTACAAATGTTTGCTTGTATGCATATATTTGTATTATCATGTATATGCCTGGTTCTTGAGGAGACCAGTAGAGGGTATCAGATATCTTGGAAGTAGAGTTGTAGATGGTTGTGAACCATCCTGTGGTGCTGGGAACTGGATCTGGGTGCTTTGCCAAAACAGCAGCCTATAGGAAGAAGCCGTGTGCCGCCATTAGCCATGTGACTTATTAGAGGTGCATACAGATGAGGTAATAAAAGAGCCGTTTACCACACCACTAAACACACCCACTTTAGGCATGACTAAAGACGTATACGGACATAGGCGGTGAACTACGTCACTAGCCAGGCCCACTTTTGGGCATGGCTAGGGGTGTTATGGGGGGGAGGTACAAAAGACTGAACAACGGAAGTCTCGGTCTCTTTTTCCGGCTTTCGGCTTCCAGTTCGGCAGCGGAAAACTACTCGGCTCATCTGGGTTACTTGTTTGGGCTCTTCTTTACACTTTACTATCCCACACTAAGTGCTACTCCAGTCTTTTCCTCTTCATTCCCACTACCACCATCACCCTGGATGGCTAGCCTAACCATCGCGTCTACTGTTTCTAGTTCCATTAAAACACCACTACTGTGCATCTACCTGACATTCTGCTGTGAACAGACTATGCCACTCCTCAGCTTCAAATCATTACACAAGTCCACTTTAAAAAAAAAAAAAAGGGTTCCAACCTGTTCATTGCTCCCTGAATGTCACCTGCTATAGTTTGTATTTTTATTGATCCTTAAGTTTGCTGAAGTGAACAAGTACCCTAGCCTAATAGAAGAGCCATTTTATCCCAGCACTTGGGAGGCAGAGGCAGGCAGATCTCTGTGAGTTTGGGGCCAGCCAGGGCTACATAGTGAGAACCTCCCCTCAACACTCCCCAAATTTATTCAGTGTTAAGAAACGTGTTCAGAAGGGCTGATCATAAAATTAATATGTAGAGATCTGCAGCATTGCCCCATATTTAAAAATATCTCAGTTAGAAAATAGAACAACCGAGTAAATGAAAAGACAGAGGCAAGATGAATATAACACCAATGTCAGGATAAGTTTGAATATATATATATATATATATGTGTGTGTGTGTGTGTGTGTGTGTGTATACATATCATTTTTAGAGACAGAGTTTCTCTGTGTAGCCTTGGCTGTCCTAGAATTCGCTCTGTAGACCAGGCTGGCCTCAACTCATAAAGATCTGCCTGCCTCTGCCTCCCACATACTGGCATTAAGGACATGTGCCTGGCATCTTGAATATTTTATGCAATTACACTAAGATTTATTTGGAAAATATTTGTGAAATAGACAATATCAGAAAAAGAAGACTTCTGAGAAGTAACTTCAACAATATCTAAAATATCTTTTTAGTTGTTATCTCACAGCATACCCTTGGCTGGCTTTATTTATTATCACACAGCATAGCCTCGGCTGGCTTCCAGCTCATGGTTCTTCTGTCTCAGTCTCCAGAGTGCTGGTCACATGTACCTGCCACCATGTCTGTCTTTTTTAACCAAGCATCAAAAGGTTATCAGTTTGATGCTGGAGAAAAAAATAGATCAGTAGAGTTGAGTGGGATCCATATGACATTTTAAAGTTGTAGGAAAATTAATTATTCAGTCAATGGTATTGATATAATTCATTTGTCATTTGGGGGAGATGAAAGATGGGCCTTCTCTCATGTAAATGTAAAGGGCGAATAAGTCACTCTTGTGCTGTTTATACTAAGTCAACACTTTGAATAGGTGACCCTTCTACACTTCAGCTTGCTCTTATAGGGCTGTTGGGTAATGCAGAGCTGGACTCTTTCATCTGAAACTCAGAAGTTATCTCTGTTAACTCACACTGCTTTTTTCTTACCCTTTCCCACACACTCTTCTATTAATATGGCCATTAATTTCCCCAAATGTTTTCTTTACTAACTTTGAGTTCTCCCCTAACTCACTTAGTGTCATACAACTTTTGCTAGTCTCTCTTTACCATCCATTTCCTTCTTCTGTCTTTAACATTCTGCTTCGGATGTTTTTTCTCACTTTTTAAAGTCTGTAGTGTCATTTAAATGGGACACAGCAACTTCATATGCTTGCCCTCTCATTTCAGGTCGTGATGGGGACTGAGAAAAAGGAGGTGCTTCCTAAGGAAGAAATTTCTGAAAGATCTGAGCCAGAGGGGCCAACGTTAGAAAAACTTTCACAGGAGGGTTACCAAGCCTATGAGTTTGGAGCAGCAAGTGATGAAGACATACTAGAGGGGCGTTTGAGAGAATCCTCGGAAGAGCTTATAGAGCACATGCCTCCTCAGGAGAGAGACTTTGCATCAGGGCTAATTATCTTCAGGAAGTCATCCTTAGGTGAGAAAAAGCAGGGTAACAGTGGGCGTGACAGAGGCTGCAGTCCCGACCCAAGTGTGGTGGTGTGTCATGGAGCTATGCGGGAGCCCACTCCAGCAGACAGGGCTAGTGCATTTGCTGCTTCTGGCCAGAGCTTCACGGAGAGTGCACAGCTTCATAAAGCACAGAGGACTCCTGTGGGAGAAAAGCCTCACACATGTAAAGAATGTGGCAAAGCTTTTAACCAGAACTCACACCTCATCCAGCACTTGAGAGTTCATACTGGAGAAAAACCCTTTGAATGCAAAGAGTGCGGAAAGACATTTGGAACCAACTCCAGCCTTCGAAGGCACCTGAGAATTCACGCTGGAGAGAAGCCATTTGCTTGTAACGAGTGTGGGAAGGCCTTCATTCAGAGCTCACATTTGATCCACCATCATAGAATTCATACGGGAGAAAGGCCTTACAAATGTGAAGACTGTGGGAAAGCCTTCAGCCAGAACTCAGCTCTTATTCTGCATCAGAGAATCCACACTGGAGAGAAACCTTATGAGTGTAATGAATGTGGGAAGACCTTCAGGGTTAGCTCACAGCTTATCCAGCACCAGAGGATTCATACTGAAGAGAGATACCATGAGTGCAATGAGTGTGGCAAGGCCTTCAAGCATAGCTCGGGCCTCATCAGACACCAGAAGATCCACACTGGAGAAAAGCCCTATCTGTGTCATGAGTGCGGCAAAGGCTTTGGTCAGAGTTCTGAGCTTATCCGTCATCAAAGAATTCATACAGGGGACAAACCCTATGAATGCAATGAGTGCGGGAAAACTTTTGGCCAGAACTCAGAGATTATTAGACATACCAGAATTCATACTGGCGAGAAGCCCTATGTATGCAAAGAATGTGGGAAGGCCTTCAGGGGCAATTCAGAACTTCTTAGACATGAGAGGATTCACACTGGAGAGAAACCTTATGAATGTTTCGAGTGTGGGAAGGCTTTCAGGCGGACCTCTCATCTAATTGTCCACCAGAGAATACACACCGGGGAGAAACCCCACCAGTGTAACGAGTGTGCAAGGACCTTTTGGGATAACTCTGAGCTGCTGCTTCACCGGAAGATTCATATCGGAGAGAAACCTTACGAGTGCAGTGAGTGTGAGAAAACCTTCAGCCAGCACTCACAGCTCACCATCCACCAGAGAGTTCACACGGGAGAAAAGCCGTATGAGTGTCAGGAGTGCCAGAAGACCTTCCGTCGGAGCTCTCACCTCCTCCGACATCAGAGTGTTCACTGTTGAATGACCCCAAACCAGGAAGGGTTGCTGGGGAAAGGCTGAAGTCAGATTTCTTCATTTGTTCATTATCTATACCCAGGTTCTTGGATCAAATGAACGGACAGAACTCCCTTGCCCATTCCCCAGTTTTGTTCTGGTAGCTGGCTGAAAGTGATGAGGCAATTTTATGAACTATTTATTGAGAAGTTTCAGTGTTCTGAATTAAATCATAAAAGTTGTTGCTGGGCAGTAGTGGCACACGCCTTTAATCCCAGCACTCGGGAGGCAGAGGTAGGCGGATCTCTGTGAGTTTGAGACCAGCCTGGTCTACAAGAGCTAGTTCCAGGACAGCCTCCAAAGCCACAGAGAAACCTTGCCTTGAAAAACAAAAAACAAGACAACAACAACAAAAGACCTTCATTCTCCTCTGTCCTTATTTCCTTCTTTCTTTCTCTCTCCACAGGTATCTGCACCTATGTCTAGCCTAAATTATTGCTCTTTGTGAAAAGTGGGGCAGGATTCACCACTCCTAGGAACCACAGAGTTGACTCATGTCTCCAGAGATGTTAGGAAACGGTGACCTAATCTCTGGTCCACTGTGTAGTCTTGGAATACTTTAGTAAGCCCCCCTCCCTTTTTTTAAGCCTTAAAATCTTCCAGTCATGTTATCAAGTTCCCTTGAACATGGCAACATTAGTGAAAAAGCAGGAAGTTTGCACCTTTTCACATCTCCTGCTAGGCTTCCTTACTTATTTGCAGGGGATTCCATGAAAAGGAAATAGTGTACAGGATGGTAAGTGAAAGCCGGAGACCCTGGAGGAAGAACCAGAGAGAAGTTGAAGTCAGGCTGCGGAGATGGGCAGGAGGGGCTCATTAGCAGCCATCCAGCTCTGAGCTGTACAAACGACATCCAGGAGTCTGCCACATGCACTTGGTCTCAAGTCCTGCTGCTGCTGCCCTCCTGTCAGGAAGTAGTGAACAGGATTGTGTGGCCCTTCTCTGCCAGGCACCTGGCCGTGGTGATGAGCTGGATAACCTGACTAACCAGGCCTGGTTTTCCAACATTTGAACTGTCATGACCACCCGCTGGGGGCTCTGGGTAACAGATGGAGATGTGACAGCCTCTTCTTGGTTTGTCTGATAGCCATGGAATTCTGTTTTCAACATCTCTACATGTCTTCTGTGTCCTCCGTTTTCTTGTTTCCATGTTTGAGGTAGGTAGCAGGGACGGAAATGGCACTAAAGAAAATCTAGCAGGCCTGAATTCTCATCTGAGAACGATCCCTTCAGTGAGGCCCTGGAGTTCCTGGTTTCATCTGCAAAATGTGGAACGTTGAGTGAAATCTCTCAAGTTTCAGCCAGCCTCTGAGAAAATACACCAATCACTAATTCTTTTTCAGTACTTGAGTTTAATAACCCAAGGCCTTGTGTACGACAGGCAAGCACTCCACCACTGCAGCCCTAGCCCCACTCCCCATGCAAAGACAGAGTCCTGGTGAGTGTCTGTCAGTATTTACTATTAGCTATGTGCTGGGCAGTGTGCTCTCAGCTTACGTTTTCCCATAATACTTAGATACAGTTTACATATCATAAAGTTCGTGGTGTTAAGTGTTCAGTTGAGTGATTCTTAGTACATCAGAGCTGCACAATTTCCTCAGTGCAAGTATTCCTGAGCCAGTTTAAGTGATGGATTAGTTTGGGTGGGGCAGGGAATGTTAGGTGATTCATCTATAATCGTATTAACTCTAGAGCCAAGACACCCGTGGTCTATTAGCCACTGTGCTGTGCGATGGATAGGCTCATTTGTTACTGCCTAATTTTAAGCCCTGTGCACACTTGAGAATTACCAATTACTACACAGATTTTAATGTAATGATTTTTTTTGTTTTTTTGAGACAGGGCTTCTCTGTGACTTTAGAGGCTGTCCTGGAACTAACTCTTGTAGACCAGGCTGGTCTCAAACTCACAGAGATCCACCTGCCTCTGCCTCCCGAGTGCTGGGATTAAAGGCGTGCGCCACCGCTTCCCGGCTAGTGTAAAGATTTTAAACCATGTCTTTGCAAATGTAACTCATCACAGCCCAGTTCTGCAGAGCAGGCTTGCTCTGTCCCCAAGAGCACTTCTCAGGTTTATACGCTTGACTTGAGAGAAAAGCAGTCAAGTAAACAGCTGCTCACCCCATTCCACAGCTTTGCGGGTAGCTCCTCTGTCAGACGCTGGCAGGAGAAGCTCTCTGGCTGCCTCCCTGTGGTGGTTACCAGTGCAGTGTGGTCTTGTTCCTTTTCGTTTCTTTCCTTAGGCTCAACGTGAGCTGTGCCTGCATCATCACCAGGACATCACCCACCTCTTTAACTTATGATTCTTGTGTTCTCCTATTTTCCTTCCAGATTTGTCCCTTGTCATCCTTCATATAGAACCAGCACCTAGTAAAACTCCGTTATAATGTGATTGAATAATTACAATAAAAATGAAAAAGCCAAGTGAAAATCTTGTGTAAAAAAGACACTCTTCAAACTCCCCAAAGGGATCTCACACAAAATACAGTCATGAGCAGTAGGGACTACCGTGAGGAAGGTGCCATGAAAAAGTGAAGGCTCACACTATACCTGCTGTTAGACTTTATTTTCAGAAGACCCTTCTTGGTGAAACCATCTGTTCAGGGTTTTTGTTTTATTCAGTTTAAGACAGAATCTCTCTATGTTGTCCTGGCTTGTTCTGGAATTTGCTGTGTACATCTGGCTGATCTCAAACTCAGATCCACTGGCCTTTGCCTCCTGAGTGCTGGGAGTAAAGGAGTGCACCACCTTGCCTGACACTTTTCAGGGCTTACTTTGGGTTTTCCTTACTGTTGTTTTGGTTTTTGGTTTTTCTAGATACCCAATCCCTCCACTCAAATTCAGCACATAATTGCTTTCTTTTCCCTCCCTCTTTTCTTTTGTTCTTTCTATGTCTCAAATAGCCGAGACTGACCATGAACTCCATTTGTAGCTGAGGGTGACCTTGAACACCTGAACCTCCTGCCTCTACGTCATCATACACCACTACACCCAGTTTATGAGGTGCTGGAGATCCAACTCAGGGCTTTGTGCATGACAGGCAAGCACCAATTGACTCCATTCTCAACTCAGCTACCTTAAACCCATCACTGGTTAGCAAAAGAAAAGTCCATTTACTTAATCCATTCTCTTGAACATTAGTGACAAGTTTTTATTGTGCCTGAGGATGCTCAGAAAAGGAGGACCTCGTGTTCTCAAAAGAATCTGTGTGTGCTGCCCAAGAGAGGAATTCTGGCAGATTGTCGATAGTCATCTTAGGTATATCATACCTATATCATCTGACCTCACTTGTTGATTCCTCTACCTATCTCTTGGTTGTCTCAGGAAGATTTCTTGCTTTCCCTTATTTGCATCCTCTTCAACTTATCTTGGTGTCAACATCCCACTGTAACTGTTGCTAGCAGTCATAATTCTGTGTAAGCAGAATCCTGCCAAAGACAAGTCATGAATTAACTTCAGACCCACTTTCAAGAATTAAGATAGACTTCATAATCTGAAAGCCCCACTTAAGTACCCAGAGAAATCCTGCAGAATCTTTGAAGGTATGTCAACGTCTGTTTTCTCCCTTTCCTAACATTTTAAGCAAATAAAGTATGTCTCTGCAATTTTCTTGATATGCCTTTCTTTTGTGTATTATTCTAAACTCCATTGTATTTTGTTATGGTCTCAGTATGACTTTGTATAAGTTTCATTCCTACCTTGTTTTGCCTTTCTTCAAGTGCACTATCATGCCTTGCTGCTAATGTGTGGCTTTGAGTATGCTGTTCATTCTTTCCTATATTTGCTCTGTGTGTGTGTGTGTGTGTGTGTGTGTGTGTGTGTGTGTGTGTGTGTGTATGTACATGCAGTGCCCACAGAGACCAGAACAGGGAGTTAAAACTGGAGTTACATATAGTTGTCAGTCGCCGTGTAGGTGCTGGGAACCGAACCCTAGTCCTCTGAAAGAGTAGTCAATTCTCTTAACTGCAGAACCATCTCTCCAGCCCCCCAAAGGGTTCTTTATTTTAGAGTGTTAGGGACATGTCTGAGACCAGGGGGTCACTAAAACACTTGCAAAAACTGAGTTGTAGACAGTTTCCATTAATAGTCCTAAAATCTCAGCCAGAGGTGATAATTACAAACAAGCAAACAGAACCCAGGACCAAGGCACTGGAGAGATGGCTTAGCAGTTAAGGGCTGTGACTGATCTTCCAGAGGACCCAGGTTCTAATCCCAGCACCCCCATTGTGGCTCACAACCATCTATAACAACAGTTCCAGGGGAACCAATACCCTGTTTTCTGGCCTCCAGGGACACCAGTCATGCACATGGTGCACAGATATATATGCATTCAAAAGCCCATACTCATGAAGTAAAATAATTAAAAAACCAAAACCACCACAATAAAAAGTATCTTTAGCTCAGGGCCTATGTAGAAACATAGCTGCTTTAGGCTTTGATCTTTAGGTTACATGTTTACCTCTGAGCAACATTTAAATGCAGATTTAGGTAAAGGAAATGGCTTAGTAACCAGTCGAAAGAGCTTGAAGGCAGTGGAGAACAATGGGGGGACATCTTTTTTGGGGGGTTTGAGACAGGGTTTCTCTGTGGCTCTGGAGCCTGTCCTGGAACTAGCTCTTGTAGACCAGGCTGATCTTGAACTCACAGAGATCCACCTGTCTCTGCTTCCTGAGTACTGGGATTAAAGGCATGCGCCACCACTGCCTGGCTAATGGGGAACATTTAAGGTGCAGATGAGCTTGGAATGTGGGCTAGAGATCAATTTATTGCCTCCTTGCTCCAAACTCATCCTTTGTGCTGCTTTATGGTCCTGGATTTGGGCCTCTCAATAGGCCTTCCTTTCTGTGTGATGTAGTGTCAAGTTTGCCAGTAACAGGCACTGGAGGGACTTTGAAGAGGAAGGGGCTGCTTTTAGTTGTGGCCTTTTCCAGTGTGTGTGTGTGTGTGTGCGGGCTTGCACACACATACGTGCACGCACATGTGCAATGCTGAGCAGCAGACCCAGTGCTTCCACTTGTTAATACATTTGGACAGCCCATCAACTCATGGATTTTCTCCTTGTCAGTCTTGACCTGCAGCTCCTCAGTGAATGTCACAAGTCTGCACTGGGATGGACATACTGCTGTATTGGTAAATATTTAGCTCAAAACCAAAAGAGCAACCAATCAAAGCAAACCAATAAGCATCAGTG